CTTTTGCATTGATATAGTGTTGTGTGAATCATAGTGTTGTGAGTAGTGTTGTGTTGCACTCTATGCGCGAGGTTTCGGCCATTTTTGTCCATTCACTGACACAGCGTTGACACAGCAGTGGATGTATTGACACATTTTCATGACATTCACCACATCTCAGAGTGTTTTAGACAAGTTTAAGGTATGTATGGCTGTGGCCAGGGATATGATGCCAGCAACTGATCCGTGCGCTCTATATGTGTGCCTCTTGTGTAGCGCCGAATGGAGGGCCACCCGAGCCATGGCGAGCACCAGTCGTCCGACACTATCTATATTCAGGTCCAGCCGACCAACACTTTCGACGGCAGCACCGACTTGGAGGCAGTGGTGCAACAGTTGCAGCAACAGCTACACGAAGAGCAGCAACAGAGGGTTCAATTGGAACAGGAGTTGCAGACCTTCCGCGACAAGAACTCTGAGTTGGAGACCAAACTGAGGGCTCAACAGAATCTGACCACTCAGTCGAAGGGTCAGCACGAGATCCAACTCAAGAGACTGAAGCAGGAGCTCACGAAAGGCGACCAAACAGAACAGGGATCCGCTCGCAAGCGCACCATCACTAAGATCTCGGAGCCGACGCATACGTGCGACGAGTGTCCCTTCGACACGAAGAGCGAGGTGTCCATTATCTTACATAAGATGAACCACGGAATCACTCAAAAGCAGTTCGTGTTGTCGACCACTTGTTTCACCACAAGAAACACCAACTCGAAGAACACGTACGCCTGTCCTGCTTGTGATGACGCCCCGCGACTCACACGACATGAGGTTTACCGACATATCTAGTAAGTGATGGTTAATGACGAGTCATTTGTGGATGAGTTCATTGAATGAATGATTGGTTCTCGTGTTTAGCGAAACGCATACCAATGAGAAACCGCAGAAGTGTCCGAACTGTGAGTACAGTTTCACTCATTCAGACTATCTGTCGGAGCATCAGAGGGAGAAACACGCGGATGAGATGATGGCGTCGGCCAACAAGAAGGCCAAAGTGACGACAATAACGCCCACCACTAACCGGTCGGCCGTTGTGGTCGTCTCGAGCAACGGCGCTATGACTACGGAAACGGCTTCAGCGGTCGC